CTCATCGTCGATGGCAAAGATTGGAGGTGAGAATTTCGAGAGCTCGCTGTTCCAAAAGTACTTCCTTTTCTGGTAAAGGAAGGATAGCAGCTGTGTCTTAGGGTCAAACTTGATTTCGGAAATCTCACTGATACCAAAGCTTGGTTTTGCCCTTATAAAAATATGCGACGCCTCGTCCAGAGAATCAACTCTAATATACTTGAAATTAACGTTCACGTCCAAGTTCCATCTAGGAAGCAGCCAAACCAGCGCATGGATCGACACCAAAGTTAATGTGTAGACAAATGTCCACTCTCTGCCAACAAAGTACTTATCGTAGTGGTTGGCGTAGAGATTATAATACACTGGGTAGATTGCCAAGAAAGGAAGCACATATGGTTTGAGTACCAATGGCTTGCGCTTGAGCAGCTGTGACGACTCAATAGTGTCACTGTTGATCAGGTCCTGGGTCATGGTGTAAGATAAAAAAGGTGGAAATTTTCAGATAGTGCGGCCGGGTAAAGACAAGACGAAAGATGGAAGTAGCTTTACATTTACGGTTGGATTTCATTAGCCGACAGTCCATCGTTCTTGCGACATGGCGAACCTTGTACCATCGGCCCGCCGTGAAGATGTGGCCGTCATTTGCTCACAAGCCCATCCCCGGTCGGTCGTATATATTTGCGGCTGTGCAAGACGCGTATGGAAAATGCTGATCTGATTGATTTTTTCTACACCATGAACTATCCTTTGGATTTGGAACTTCCTTGGTAAGTACTGACAGGACTCAATCTAACAGCTAGGGTGGAAAAATACAGGCCTACTAAGCTGGACGATGTGGTGGGCAACAAGGAAACCGTAGAATCTCTAAAGAGAATTGCAGAGGAGGGAAACATGCCTCATCTAATCATATCGGGTCTGCCTGGTATCGGAAAGACTACCTCTGTGTTGTGCCTCGCACATGAGCTTCTTGGAGATCAGTTTCGCGACGCTGTGCTGGAATTGAACGCGTCTGATGATCGTGGTATTGAAGTGGTCCGCAATAAAATCAAACAGTTCGCTCAGAAAAAAGTCCAACTTCCACCAGGAAGACACAAAATTGTGATTCTGGACGAGGCAGACTCAATGACTCCTGGAGCACAGCAAGCTCTCCGGCGCACCATGGAAATTTATTCCAATACCACCCGTTTTGCATTTGCTTGTAACCAATCAAGCAAGATCATTGAGCCATTGCAAAGTAGATGTGCCATTCTACGTTACAATAAGCTCGAAGACGAGGAGATATTAAGAAATCTACTGCACATAATAAAGCAGGAAAAGATTGAATACACCAATGACGGTCTGGAAGCACTAATATTTACGGCTGAAGGTGATATGAGACAAGCAATCAATAATCTACAGAGTACATTCTACGGCTTCAATTTCGTGAACTCGGAAAATGTTTACCGAATTGTCGACTCTCCGCATCCTCTAGTGATCTCCAAAATGCTCAGGAGCTGTATTCGGGGCGATTTTGAAGGCAGTCTCGACATTCTACGGTCGCTGTGGGCAAAAGGGTATTCCGCGATCGATATTGTCAGCACTAGTTTTAAAGTTCTCAAGTCCATGTACGACATTGAAGAGGATAAACGGTTGGAGGTGATTCGTATCGTTGGTTTTACCCACATGCGTGTTCTGGAAGGAGTTTCTACCTACCTACAGTTGAGTTGCATGCTGGCCAAAATTTTGGAGCTGAATAAGGAACTGAAAATAGATGCCTGAATAATAAATTTAAAGATTTGTGTTTTTTATTTCCCTTTGAGTTTTTTTTTCGCGTCATGACATCTTCTGATTATACCACCCCTTTTCTTGTTCGATTATTTCGATCTTTGGACACTTTGGTAGCGCTCCATTACAGTACGAACTACCTTTCATCACTAGTGCGCTTTTCAACGGTATCGAAGAAGGTATTGAACCTCAATCAGGAGGTACTCTGCATGATCAAGTCAATATATCCCGAGTCATATGACATTGCCAGAGCAGGAGACGATATCACAATCGATGTTTTCTGTAACGATTCTGCACGTAGATCCGAGGAACGCGTCCAACTCATCCAAAAAATTGAAAAGCGCCAGCAAATCTTCAGATCCAAGCTGGAGGAGTGGACCGCGAAAGGGTGCCCCGTTACATTTAAGTTAGAGTCAGAGCAAAAGCATCAAACATCGCCGAAGAAAGTCGGCAAAATCACCAAGCCCAAGAATTCTCGCACGAAATACGAATTTCATGAAAAGCATCTTCTATCTGACCTGCCACTTTTAGAGCGCATTAAATTGAAGCAGGCTTCAAAAAAGGTGAACATACTCCGCGATCAGAAACAGGATGCACTTGACTCCAAAATGGTTCCAATCTACAATGTGATCTATGAACAATCGCCTAAGTTCGAAAATTCCAAAACCGTCAGTTTGAGCGTGACTCGTCTTCAACAGCTGGTCAGAGACTCCATGACACTACCGGTTTCCGAGAGTGATGTGCGCAAAGTATTGCATCAGCTGGCCAAAAAACTCGGACTGCGGGTGACAGTCATTGGAGAGACCCAGGTTTTGAAAATCCCAAAGCTAAATAGGAATGAGGATCTCGCCAAGTTGGGCAGCTACCAAACTGAAGTTGAATAAAACCACTTGGACTTCTGATGCATCCTTGCACCATAACTCAAGGGTCTCTATTGTTCTTCTGGAAATTTCTGCCTGAGTAGTGGGCAAGGCACTACCGGGAAAAAATGACGGCGAAAGAATGAAAAAAACTGGAAAATTAATTTATATATCTTTGTTTTGCCCCTGTGGATTTTGAACACCAGGACAATTCAATAAGTGGGTAGCAAGTGCTAGTAATTGGAAAGATGTTGGCAAACATTGCTAGAAACGTGAGAAGTGTGAGTATTGAACATAGAATTATTGTTTGTCCGCTAACTTCTCAGTCTTCTCTCAGACAGCTGAGATACAACTCCACCAAGGTGACCGGTTCCGTGATCGGTATCGATTTGGGAACCACCAATTCTGCTGTTGCTGTGATGGAGGGAAAGACTCCAAGAATCATCGAGAACGCCGAGGGTTCCAGAACTACTCCGTCTGTCGTTGCCTTCACCAAGGACGGTGAGAGATTGGTCGGTATTCCAGCCAAGAGACAGGCTGTGGTCAACCCAGAGAACACCTTGTTTGCCACAAAGAGACTGATCGGTAGAAGATTTGAGGATCAAGAGGTGCAAAGAGACTTGAATCAAGTTCCATACAAGATCGTCAAGCACACTAATGGTGACGCTTGGGTTGAGGCCAGAGGCCAGAAATACTCCCCAGCTCAAATCGGAGGTTTCATTCTCAACAAGATGAAAGAGACTGCCGAGGCCTACCTTGGTAAACCTGTCAAGAACGCTGTCGTGACTGTTCCAGCATACTTCAACGACGCTCAAAGACAAGCCACCAAGGACGCAGGTGCTATTGTTGGTTTGAACGTTGCCAGAGTTGTCAACGAACCTACTGCTGCTGCTTTGGCTTACGGTTTGGAGAAGACTGACACCAACGTCGTCGCCGTGTTCGACTTGGGTGGAGGTACCTTCGATATCTCCATCTTGGACATTGACAACGGTGTCTTTGAGGTCAAGTCCACCAATGGTGACACTCACTTGGGTGGTGAGGACTTTGACATTGCTTTGGTTAGATACATCGTCGACGCTTTCAAGAAGGAGTCCGGTATCGACCTTCAAAACGACAGAATGGCCATTCAAAGAATCAGAGAAGCTGCTGAGAAGGCCAAGATTGAGCTGTCCTCTACTCTTTCTACTGAGATCAACCTTCCTTTCATCACTGCTGACGCTTCCGGTCCAAAGCACATCAATTTGAAGATGTCTAGATCTCAACTTGAACAACTGGTTGAGCCACTGATCAAGAAGACTGTCGAGCCGGTCAAGAAGGCTCTGAAGGATGCTGGGCTCTCTACCTCTCAAATCTCCGAGGTTATCCTTGTTGGTGGTATGACCAGAATGCCAAAGGTTGTCGAGACCGTCAAGTCTTTGTTTGGTAAGGAGCCATCTAAGGCTGTCAACCCAGATGAAGCTGTTGCCATTGGTGCCGCTATTCAAGGTGCTGTGTTGTCTGGTGAGGTTAAGGATGTCTTGCTTTTGGACGTTACTCCATTGTCTCTCGGTATTGAGACTCTGGGTGGTGTCTTCACTAGATTGATCCCAAGAAACACTACTGTTCCAACCAAGAAGTCCCAGATTTTCTCCACTGCTGCTTCTGGTCAAACGTCTGTTGAAATCAGAGTGTTCCAAGGTGAGAGAGAACTCGTCAGAGACAACAAATTGATTGGCAACTTCACTCTTTCAGGTATTCCACCAGCACCAAAGGGTGTTCCACAAATTGAAGTCACTTTCGACATTGATGCTGACGGAATCATCAATGTTTCTGCCAAGGACAAGGCATCTGGAAAGGACAACTCCATCACTGTTGCCGGTTCTTCCGGATTGTCTGAGGCTGAGATCGAGAAGATGGTTAACGAGGCCGAGAAGTTCAAGGAGCAGGACAGAGCTAGAAAGGAGGCAATTGAGCAAGTCAACAGAGCTGACCAACTCTGTGCCGACACTGAGAAGTCTCTTGAGGAGTTCAAGGAGAAGCTGGATGCTACTGAGGTCGAGAACATCAACAAGAAGATCGCTGAGTTGAGAGAGATCATCGTGAAGGTCAACGGTGGTGAGACTGTTGAGGCCGACGAAATCAAGACCAAGTACGAAGAGTTGCAAGCTGACTCGTTGAAACTCTTTGAGAAGCTGTACAAGGACGGTAACGCTTCCAGCTCCGAGTCTTCTGGTGAGCAAAAATAAAGTTGTTTATAGTTGACTAATTTGTATATACGGGAGTTATTAAAGAATATTGTATGAAAATAATTTAATAAATAGTAACCTCTATAATGTTTAAGTTGAACCCCTTAAGCAAATTGATATTTTTAAGCATTCTTATAGCAATAGGGTTTCTCAATATTGTGCTCAGCTGCGCATTGTATGATAATTGGCTTCCACTTATCGATGTTGCCATTTTCCTTATTGCTCCGCTGCCCAACGCTTTAGCACAGTCCCTGTCAAGCGCATACGAGGCTGATTTTCTCTCGGATTCCCACGAGGAGATACCAATTAAGGAGTTCTTCAAATTCATGACGGGATTTCTTGTTATCAGCGGGATAATCTTCCCCATTATCCTTTTCCATTGCCATCTGATCACGCATTGGAGTTTAATTTTAAGTGTCGCGGGAGGTTTCATCATATATCTCAGCATCGTGCTCTTTATCGTGGGTTTCAAAGAGGAACCAGATGAGTATGATTTCTGAGTTTATTTCTGCAAGTCAACTATACAAACCTTGCCCGATTTCGGACCACCATACAAAATCGCCCATTTTGTCCCCTTGGACGCCTCCTTCGAAAGTGCATTGTATATATTAGCCACAAACGAGCGGGGCGTCGAGCTGGAGACTCCGCCAACTTTCCGTTTCCATTCGTCTGGCTGGTTCAGCGACGTGATACTAATCATCGCAAGCACTTCGTCCCTCGCTTCAATGGTGAAGATAGGAGAACTTTCCAGGACTCGGATCAGAGACTCTGCGGACTCGGCCGCTTGATCCACAATCGCCCATTTCTCCTTCTTGTTATTTTTCTTGTTGGCTCCCGTTGCGTTATTAGGAACAACCACAACTCGTTGACGGTTGTCTGCAAGTGCCTCGGCGTCCTGCAACACATCCTTGGTATCGACCTCAATCTCTTTTGGCTGCTCGCCTTTTAACAACGACACGAGATCGTGCAAGTCAACTTCGATATCAACTTTTGCCTCCAAATTCTTGAGTCGCAATGGTTTATATTTGTTGCTCTTTGAGTTTCCCTTAAGTGTCTCCATATTTGTCTGAGCCTTCACCACAAGCAACCATTTCACATTCGATTCGACTGCCTGATTTACCATGTCGTCGATGGTGACCGAATTGTTCACCAGGTCTGCGCTGATATCGTTCGACCAGAGTACCTGCAACAGAAAAGGCGCAATTTCTTTCAGGATACCAGTAGAGAAAAATCCAATAAGAACGTCACATTTCTTGGTCTGCCAAACAACCTTCAGGTTCTCCTTCTGAAACTTGCGCTTCGTGTCCTTACGGTTGTTGAACATGTCCTGATACCGTTTCATCGAGTTGAAAAGGAAATCCCAAGCCAAACGGAGCCCCACGGCTCTTGGGAGGTCACGGGGCGACTTGTTGCGAGCCAATGTGCTAATTAGTTCGTCGTAACGTCCGCCAGCGCATATGATGGATTTGAACTTGTCCTCGTATACTGCCGTAAACATGATTCCCCCTTTATAGAACGCAGAGTTATAGCCGCTAAATGGTCTAATTTCGATGTTGAGCTCCACATTAAACCATTCCAAGTAGTTCATGATCTTCGAGATATAATTTAAGGAATTATCCACCTTCCCTAGATGCGGGCTATCCATCATGAGCTTGTGTAGCTTTGACCTCACTTGTCCAATTGGGAGTCCGAAATCGAACTGCACAAGTTCGTTCAAGATTGTGGATGACATGTTGAGATCCTGCTTCAAGATAGCTTTCACCTCCTTGATAGTCTTTCCAAAACCAACTTCGGCAAGGATTCGGCTGACAATAACTCTCTGCGGTCTTTCTATGCCACAGTATTCTAGGATTGTATCTAGCAAGTTGCAATGGTTCAATATGATTTTCACGTTGCTCTGCTTCAGGAACGGCAAAATAGCTATGATTTCACTCATCACTTTAATGCACTCCGCATCATAGAAGGGTAGCAGCTCTGCCGAATCATTCGGGCGAGAAACAATATCGAAGTCAATTTCCTTGAACTTGCTTGGGCCAGATCCTTCATCTTTGTCTATCGAGCGATATACATCTTCAATTCTGAAAAACTTGTGAATTGACAGCGGCCTGCGTCCAAGAAGTCTAGCCATAGGAAGCGTTAAATCATATGGAAGCTGAAGAACTGATCCAGCCTTGTCCAGTACCTCGTAAACCTTGTACGTCGAATCATACAGAGGATTCTTAGGAAATAGCAAAGCAGTATGGTCAACAAACTCAATGCCACCATGTCTCATGAATATCTTGGAGATCTCTTGAACTATTTTGGAGTGCAAAAGATAGTCTGCTGTTCCGTACGATTTTTCAACGTCCCCAAACAAAAGGTCACGCACGTAACTATAAGGTTGGGAGAATAAAATGCTTCTAGCCTGATGGTGCCACGAGGAAGAAGGATCAATCAGCGCATTTAAAGCTTCCTTCATTAAATCGTCTTGCTGTTCAACCCTGATCAGTCCGCTTTGAAGCAACTGTCGAGCCGATGGTCTTCTTTCGACGTTATGGTCGAGTAACATCTTTATGATTTTTTTCTCGGTTGCCAAACGTTCGTTATCAAAATCCTCCGGGAATACAATTTCGGGAGCTCTCAGATTACTGATCACGGTATATCGCTCCATAGAAGTACCCAGGTGGTACACCATCTCAAAGAAAATTACACCCAATGAATAGAGATCAACTTTTTCGTTGTATGCTCCAGAGCCATTCATGACCTCAACAGCGACGTACAACCTTGTGCCAATGTCTGAGGTAAGATCTTCCCCACTTTCTGAGACGTCTAAAACTTTCCTGTTTGTTGATGGAAGATAATGAACGTTCTTCGCAAGACCAAAGTCTCCAACCTTGACGTTTTGGTTTTCATCAATGAAAATATTCATTGGCTTCAAATCCCGATGAATAATACCCTGGGAATGAATATGGCTAAGAGCTTCAAGTATCTGGCGCATAATCCTCCAATAAAAGACAGGGTCTTTGTACAAACCTTGGCGAATGAGATCAAATAGGGTACGATTTTCACAGTACTCCATCTGAATGAACAAAACGGATCTTTTTTTCGAAACAGGCAATCTTTGTTCTACTGCGTTGTCTTTTTCCTCTTCACTTTCGGTTCCAAAAGTGAATGCCTTCTCCTCTTCAGGATCAGACTCTTCATCCTCGCTGATGTTAAATTCCAATTCAGGATTCACAGAGGACGAAATAAAATCAGTGTAGGTTTGGCTCCCTGTTCTTGTATATTCAGATGTGGCATCCGCCTCGGTCTCAAACTCTTCTTCATCATCTTCAGAGTCTGAAAATACAGCACCATAACTCAAATCGTCCTCTAGCCAGGCTGCATAATAGCGAACGACATACTGGTGGTTGAGTCTAGCCAGCAACATCACTTCGTTAAGAATTTTGGCCAGTTTATCTTCGGTGTGCCTGATTTTCTTTATTGCGTAAAACCTGCCATCTAACTTGTTTCGGACTTTGACAACCTCACCAAATCCCCCTTTGCCCAAGCTTCCAACCTCTTCAAAATCTTGGACGTATCTGGAGTAGGATTTGAATTCATGAGCAGTAACACTGTTGAAAGAATCTCTTTTGGGCCTATTTTTAGGGGCTGAAAGCAATGGTGCATCTGAGATATCAGAAAATCCGTTGATTTGAGCAGAACTCCGCTTGTCAACAAAGTCAGATCCTATCGACAGTGCAGGAACTGTATTGAGATTGAGCCGCAGAAAACGACATGGTAGTAGCTCCAAAGGATCTGGACGCTTGCGGGTGCGAACATCAAATATAGCTTTGAGAAAATCGGCGATCGGCTCCTCCAACTCTGTATGATTAGCTAAGAGGTCTGACGGACTTTCAAAGTCATAAATCACGTCAAAACCTAACACAAGCTGGACGAAAATCACCCCCAGGTCCCAGACATCCGTTTTGCGCTGCGGTTTGTCGAATAGAGAAGATCCATTCTTTTTCCGTTCGGGAGCTATCCATCCAGGAGCATCAAACGGCAGCACATCGTCATACTGCCCCTGATTTGGGTAGCTTGACACCATGTTCAGAATGGTGTAACCATAGCATACGTTAGCAAGCTTGACCTGGCTCTGCCCCATGGATGATGGACAGACTTGAATAGCATCCAAGTTGAGGCATTTGTGAATCATTCCTTGTTTGTGTAGGTACTCCAAACTTTCTAGGAGCTGGATTATCCACTCGCGGGCGGTATTAATATTGATGAATGATATCTTACTCAAAAGATTTGCCAGCGTATCATTGTAGCTGGTCAATATGGCAATTTTCCAAACGTCAAATCTTTCCTCGTCCATAGACACCTTCTTGGAAACTTTTTTGGCGGCGGAATTTTGAAGCGAGACATCCCCACTAGATGTCATTTCGAACTTTTCAATGTTAAAAGCGAAGACGCGGTCAATGTTGTCATGTCGTAGATTCGTAACAGCCTGGAGCTCTTTTTCAAGAGAAAAAATCAGTTTCTTGCCTTGACTGGACCTCCAGAAAGGATTGGAGAGATCTATTTCTGTGAACAGGAACTGAAGTTTGTTCTTGCCCTTGGTAAGGTCCTGTATCAGACCGTACGCCGGAGAATCTTTATGGATATGAGGTTTTACCAAATACTGCTGGCTGCAGTCTTTAAGTAGTCCAATAGGTTCAATTGGCACAAACCCAGATACTGCTCGAAAATTAAGCTTGTAGTAGTCCAAATGCGTTTCAATTGTCTTGTCAAAAACAAATATTCGCTCGTCCATGGAGCTATGCACGGCAGATTCCAAGCTTAAAATGTTTTCTTTGAGCGTTGGCGAGGAAGTCTGCGCTTCGGATACGCTCTTATTGGATCTTCGTTTCAATTCGGTGGCCACCATCTGGTCTAGTAATTCCTGCTCCTTTTCTCTCTCGAGTTCAATCTTTTGTCGCTGTTCCTTCTCTTGCTGTTCCATGAGCTCTTTTTCCTTTTCAAGTCTACGGAGTCTTTCCTCTTCCAACGTACCTGTTCGGGCCCTCGTTTGGAACTCGTTCAAATGGTCCAATATGCACGTCGTGACAGAATAAACCATAGGACCGCCTTTCTCTTGCTTCATAATCTTATCGATTTCTGTACGCAGAAACGAGAGCTGAGAGCTGAGAATATTCTGGGAGCGTCCAAAGGACACTAATGGAAGCGTCTGCGGGTATGTGGCTGTGAATTCGATCTTGAGCACTAGTGTCAATATGGGGTCGCTATTAGTATCTGAACGAAGCGTAATTTCGAATTTAGGACAGGGCTTTTGGCTCCAGGCGCTCTGCTGCGGTGTCTTGTCTTCAAGGTCGTCCGCATAGATAGCTTTGAGAACCTCGAGCTCCTCAATCTGTGTGTCATAGTACTCGTTCATAGGGTTATCGCCCTTACCCGGCACACAAATTTTTCGACAGCAAAAAAATAAAATAACCTAAATATGTCGTCAGACAAGATGGACGCAGCTTCATTGATCTCGAAATTGAATCTCAATAAAGATGAGTCCAAGGACCAGAAGATAGAGAAAGTGGATGAGGTGAAGGAAGATACCAAAACTGAAACCGGAATGCCGAAGAGTCCTACAGAGGAAGTCAAGGAGGAAATGGCAGACAAGAAAGATAACGCAGAGAAAACTCAAAATTCTCTCGTGGATTCGACTTACGAGGTGAAAGTGAAGCTTGCGGATCTGCAGGCCGACCCAAATTCGCCATTGTACTCTGTGAAGTCGTTTGAGGAACTGGGATTGCGCGAAGAGCTTCTCAAAGGACTATACGCGATGAAGTTTTCCAAGCCTTCCAAGATTCAAGAAAAGGCGCTGCCGTTGCTCATCCAGAATCCTCCACGTAACATGATTGGCCAATCGCAGTCGGGTACAGGTAAAACAGCCGCTTTCTCTCTTGCCATGCTCACTAGGGTGGATGAGAAGGATCCTATGGTCCAGGCGCTGTGTTTGTCTCCTGCCAGAGAGCTGGCCAGACAGACCGAAGAAGTGGTTTCTCAGATGTGCAAGTACACAAACATTAAAGTCAAACTTGTGGTTCCTGGCTCTTTGGAAAGAGACGAGACAGTCAATGGGCAGGTAGTGATTGCTACCCCGGGTGTGATCTTAGATCTCTTGAGGAGACGTAAGATCAACTTCAGTCATTTGAAGATTTTCGTTCTAGATGAGGCAGACAACATGCTGGATAAACAAGGACTTGCCGACCAGTGTCTCCGGGTTAAGAAAAACATTCCGCAGTCAACTCAACTGGTTCTTTTCTCGGCTACTTTCCCCGATGAAGTCCGCAGATATGCTGAGAAGTTTGTTCCGAACGCAAATTCGTTAGAGTTGAAGCACGAGGAGCTTAATGTGGATGCCATCAAACAATTGTACATGGACTGCGACTCGGAGCAGCACAAGTTTGAAGTTCTTTGTGAGCTGTATGGTTTGTTGACCATCGCGTCTTCCATCATATTTGTCCAAACCAAGGACACCGCCTCGAAATTGTACACCAGAATGAAACAGGAAGGCCATGCAGTCTCGATCCTGCATGGTGATTTGCAGCCAGCTGAAAGAGACCGTTTAATCGACGACTTCAGAGAAGGCAGATCGAAGGTTTTGATCACCACCAACGTTCTAGCGAGAGGCATCGATATCCCTTCGGTTTCCATGGTGGTGAACTACGATATTCCTTTAGACAAATCAGGAAAGCCAGATCCATCTACTTACCTGCATAGAATTGGAAGAACCGGCCGTTTTGGTCGTACTGGTGTCTCGATTTCCTTGATTCACGACAAGAAGTCTTACCAGGATCTAGAGGCAATCAGACAGTATTTTGGCGGAATCGAGATGACCAGATTGCCGACCGATGACTGGGATGAAGTGGAAGAGATTGTGAAAAAGGTTGTTAAATGATAAAGCAGTGCATAAGTAAGTAATTAATTAATTAAGTCCCCTGACTTACCTGAAAGGATGTTTAACGAAGTCTACAATGTAGTTGTACCATTTCTTGGTGTAGTCCTCCTTCTGTTCTCCTTCAACAGCGTTCAATCCATCTCCCAGGTAGAAGTTAGTCTGGAACAAGGTAACAATCAAGCAGACACAGCTGATACCAAGAGCACCGCAGAAGAGAAGGTAACAGACATCCTGGTAAGCTTTGATACATGCAATTCTGTCATCAGAACCCCATGGGAGAGCCGAAATAACGGTAACGGACTCGAAATAGGAAAGGGCCCTGGTGGCATCACCAACGTGCTCGGTAAGACGTTGAGGAAGGTTTGAAGTCCACACGGAAGCGACAATAGCCTGTCCGACACCAGCACCAATGCTGGTGTATAAAGAAAGAACAGAGATGGTGGATGCCAGGTCCACGTGTGGAACGCAAGCTTGAGCAGCCAATTGGGTACCCATAGCATCACCACAATCACCGATGGAGGTGAGAACCAAGGCGGCCACAATGACACCGAGAGAAGGACCATTTTCCATCTTGGTGGAATGCACCATCAGTCCAAGACCAATCAATCGGATACTAGAGCCAAACACTTGGAAAACCTTGTACCGACGGAAGTATCTGAATAACAGGCCGTAGATGACACCAAAAGAACACAAACCCATGGTCTCTGTGTTGTTAAGATAAGTCCAGTCTCTGTAGGAAAGATTCAGAACGACCAAGTCGTAAGAGCTAAAGTAAAGCAGCCAGAAGTAACCACCCATTTGATAGCAGAAATCGATGATGACGCAGCAGATGAAGGTTCTGTTCAGAAGAACGCGCTTAGGAAGCAATGGGTATGGCGCAATCCAAATCTCGTAGATAGTGTACATGATCAGGAAAACTCCTCCGACAACCTCCATGGCAATCATTGAAGGGTTGTGCCATCCACCTTTGGCGTAAGAATAAAGCGAGCAAGGAAGAAGCATGAGAGAGAAAGCAAAACCAAGAAGGATGAGCCCCAGAGCGTCAATCTCGATAAGTGCGTGCTTTATCTTGGATTGTTCATGCTTTTCCCAACAGTTATTTGCGGCAGCTTGATGCTGAACTTGAAAGTTCCATAGTTGATCTTGTGGTCCATCCAGAAAATCATACCAATGGCCGGAATCAACGCAGCGGGGGTAATAATAGCGAACATGCCATAACCCCATCTCCAGTTAGTAGTGGTGATGTTTTGGACAATATAACCTGCCACCCAAGTGGTACACAGGTATGGAGTGGATAGAAGACCATTGACGGTGGCCCTCCACCTGAGAGGAGTCATGTCGGCGACCAAGATGCTATTAAGCAGATCAATACCAGATTGTCCGATGGCAATGAAGACGGAGCCAATGACGTAAGCAGAGATCGTAGGAGAGCAGGCAGCAATGACAAATCCGATGATATACAAGACCAGAATAAACATGTAGGCGACAGCCCTGGAAGTCATATCGGATATTTTGGCAATGAATGGCTTACAAACAGCTCCGATGATGGAGTTGGCGATACTCAAAGTAGAAAGCATCGAGTGACGGTCAAACTGAGAGGTTGCATATGGCTGGTAACTGTACGTGGTGGAACTATCAAGCGCATAAGTCCAGGAACACAGGTACAGCGACAAGATCAGCACCAAGATGTACCTTTTATCTAGAGTCTGCTTGACGGCCTCAATTCTGGCCACACCACGAGGCTTCTGTTCCTCGGTGTCATGCTCAAAAGTGTGAGATTCAAGAGAGGGCTCTTTGAAATCCTGTGACATGATTTGATTTTATTGATTTCAGAGATAATGTCACAGCTATTTATCTGCTCCCAAAAAGTGAAAGTTTTTTCAACTATTCTTCTAGCCGACGCTTAGACCCGATCTTAAGAGCCGAGAGATTCAATAATAAAGCTTGTCCGATAAAACATGACTTGCATTGCATCTCGATGAATAGGAAGCAGAAAATTTTATTATAAGTCTGCCAAATTTTCTAGCACCTTAGACTTGACCGTCTGAAACCCTGGCGCGCCTTTTTGGTTCGAGCAAAGATCAGACAATGCACTGACTCCTCCGATTTTGTTTTTCTCCATAAAGATCTCTATTGTCCTTACTGCCTCGAGCCTGCGCGCTGGAATTGGACCGTCACCCAGCTCACGTGAAACTTCGTCAATCAAATTCGCAACACGCTTCAGTCGATTATAATAGGTAGTTTCGGTGGATTTCCATGTCGGGTATCTCTCAAGTATATCGCATACTGAAGGCTTCCCTTTATCTGGGTCTCCAACGTACCAGACTTCATAGAGCTCGCGCACTGTGAGACTTTTGTTCGACCTGGGCCCTCTTGGCAGACGATAATTTATTATTTCGTTAGGCAGACTTTTCATTAATGCAGGCTGCAGCCCATTGTGCCCTAGCGCTTGATTGTTTACATCTTGATGGTATTTCGGATCTTTATTGGCCAAAGAGTGATCAATTTGGGTCCGAGGATTGTTGATTTCGTTTATGAATGCTGCTGCATTTTCTTCTGCTGAATAACCGTTTTCTTTTTGTAGTAAGCAGTCCAATTCGCTCTGTACCCGTTTGATATTCTCGCTCAAAGATGCCTCAATCTTCTGGTAGACCACGTCTTCTAACTGTCTTTGGGAACTCTCTACCTCATCGATCTGTTTTAGTAACAAATCGACAGTATTGCGGGCCGAAACACCTTCAAATGCCTTCGACAAAATTTGATTGAAGACGCTTTTGAGATCAGGGTCTAGTGAAGAAGGATCGGAGAGGTTTCCGAAATGCATATTCTGGGAATTGCGCCTCAATTGTTCCTCGATATCAGCCCTAACGTCCATGAGAGGTGATTAGGATGCGATTCTTAATTTTCGATATTTCTTTTTAGCTCTCGGATAAATAACACATCAGCTGACTTGCAGGCACGTGATTTTGATCCATGGGGGAATTGCAAGCGGTACTATCTAGAGCAAAAGATATCTTATAGTCAAGGCTTTGGGTTGCGCGGGAGATCAATGATGGGGTGGTAGCTATTCTACTGTGAATTGTAATTTAAGGACCCCACGTTCCATTCTCTTAAGTGAATAGGCTGAATTCCCGATGCTCTTCCTCATTTTTATCCTACGATGGTTACATTGAGGATACAATATCAGGTTCTTTTAATCAGCCAGAATCGATCAAATAAGGCCACTGTCGAATTTGCTCTCGTGTAGAGCGATGAAACAATTTTTGTAAAATGTTAGATGTCCAAGATCGTAAGATGAGAAGCCTAAAATAGTCTTGCAGGTTAAGTTCGTGGCATGTATATCAGAGACGTATTGTCCTTGATTTGAACAGATCTTACAGAGTGAGTTAGATTGCAAAATTAGTAAGATGACGATCTAACTTTCGGGACATTTATCCGTGAGGATCACACTCATTTATTAATCCATGCCAGAGCGGTAAGCGGTAAAGTACTTGTCGAAATGCAGAAAAGATTGAATGAATGAAAAGCCTGCTCATTTTGCTCCGTGTACCAGGATTTAGTTCGCTTGCGTGCTCCGACTTGATTACAAATTGGTGATTCTGCATAGTTAGCGAAAAAAGCTGAAGAGCGAGCGCGATAAATGAAATTGTGTGCGGGTGTAAAATTCGATAAGAATAATTATCCAAATAGACACCATGCCGTACTCTGGGACAAGGATAGTTAGCTTCATAGTCGTCGGTCTTTTCATAGTTGTTTCGTTGTTCTGGAGCTTCTCTGAAGAGTCCCAGGCTGCAGTCGAATGCCCTGCAACCAAACCGCATCGACCCTCCACTTATCATTTGCACAAAGCAACTCTTTCCAAAATACTGCACAGCGAGGACTTTAGAAATGCTTCTGTTATGAAGTTGCAGGCTGCTATCAGAACAAGGACTGAAGTTTATGATGACGATCCCCTACTTGTTGAGGACGATTTTACGTATTGGTCAAAGTTTGAAAAGTTTGAACAACTGCTCAAATCCACATTTCCTCTATTTTACAGCAAAACAACCCTTCAGAAGGTCAATTACCATGGATTAGTGTATATTTGGGAGGGAAGTAACTCATCCTTGAAGCCTCTGGTTCTAATGGCTCATCAGGATACAGTGCCCGTCTCTAATTTGACTCTCAACCAATGGGAACACGATCCTTTCAGTGGTGACTACGATGGAGAAAACGTTTACGGTAGGGGCGTTGCAGATTGCAAAGAGCAGCTTATTGGATTATTGGAAGCTGCAGAAGAGCTGATTAGTAGCGAGTTCTCGCCAAGAAGGACCATTATCTACTCCTTTGGATTTGATGAAGAAGTTGGAGGCCCCAGAAACAAAAATGCCGAATGGCTCGAACGGAAATATGGCAAAGACTCCATGTATGCGGTTCTGGATGAAGGAGGAGTTAATCTTGACATTATTCAGGGAGTCAAAATGTCTGTTCCAGGAACGGCAGAGAAAGGCTACATGGATTTGAAAATCATCCTTGAGACCCCAGGAGGGCATTCTTCAATTCCACCTAGACACACTTCAATTGGAATTATGGGCGAAATGATTGTGGAGCTGGAAAAATATGAGTTTCCAAAATATTTCACCAAAAATAATCCTGCGTTCTGGGAATATGTCTGCGTTGCAGAGCACTCTCCCGAAATGGCTTCATCCGTTAAAAAGAGTATTCTAAGTGCCGGTCACAACCAGAAGGCCAACGAGATTGCAAGAAATTATATTGATGTGGATCTTGGCAAGGGATTTGTTGTCAAGTCAACAAGGGCCATTGACATCATATCCGGAGGAGTCAAGGCAAACGCTCTTCCTGAATATGTGGAACTCACTATGAACGTGCGGATCGCCATGGAGGAGACGGTAGCCACTGTGGTTGATAGAGTTATTGATATCATTAAGCCAGTTGTTGACAAATATCATCTTGGCCTTGTGTCTGACCTTAACGGACGTCAGGAACTCAAGCCTAGCACGCCAGCCGGAAACTGTCTCCTTAAGGTGGTTCAAGCCTTTCCGCCTGCTCCGTTGACGCCAACTCAAGGCAGCCATTGGGATATATTTGCCGGAACCATCCACCACGTTTATGAAGATCTGGTGGCCCCAGACTCAACGGGCCTCATTGTTGCTCCGGGTATAGGTTCTGGAAACACCGACACAAAGTATTACTGGAACCTCACAAATCATATCTACAGATACAAGCCAGGTTTATTGCCAGGTGTGTACTCTAAGGAGCACGGAATCAACGAGTTTATTCCAATGGACTCTCATCTGCACCTGATTGCGTTTTATTATGAGTATATCCTGAGTGTAGACGAGACGGACGACTGAAAATTCGTTAAGCCAATTCAGGAAATTCTGAAGATACATTTTTCTTGAGCCGCAGTAGTTCACTAACATATATGTCTCTTTTCCAATCATTGATTCGGTATAGCCGACAAAGTCACGAAGTGGAAGAATGTCAGTTTTTACGAGAGGATCTGTGGTTGTCAATACTGTTCCCATGTAAACGGCTCTGAGATACGACTCCCCATCGTTTCGTCCTTCCCAAGGCTCAAAAACAACCTCCGATCCCATTCCTGGCCAACTGAGAAAATTAACTTGGACAGATTCAAGGATGCGTGCAATGGCACCATTATAAGCTGCGTTGTGGGAGTAGTTGAGATCTGATCTCACGTTGGCTTTCCGAAAAAAACAGCGCTTTTGCTCATTGAAGTATGCTCTGTTGCTAGTTGCCGCAGAAAGAGACCATCTCTCATGAAACCGAAACTTGTAGTTGTACTCAAAATCTGCAAGACGAGAAATTTGTTCGGATTGGTTCTGTGTCATACAGAGCGATGAGGTTTTGGAATAACATGCATGATCGTACCAATGAGACAATCTGAATGCAGTCAAAAAAATGATCAAAAGACTAATGAAATCTTCTGAACTGGATTAACACCAGACAGGTCGTCTGACTCATCGTGTAGATCTGCAGCCTTGGATAATATACTGCCATTTACTCGATGATGAGATCTCTGATTCCATGGCATCTGCAATTTCGCATTTATTGGTGAGCTGGGGCGCTTCAAAGCCATCAGCTTCCCCATTCGCTTTAAGCTTTTTTTAGTGAGGATACATGGTTTTAACCACTGCACTAGCAACGTGGGACGTAATGACATTAGTCACACAAAACTTTCCATGGTGGGGGTTATATCGCACCAGATCAAGTTCCAGTAGTTTGCCATACACTTCCTGAAAGTAATCCCCGTGCTAGTGCGAGTCTTCTAAACCAACACAGGAGATCTCACAAATATTCCTAGTGCCATTGTAGCTGTTGTGGAGAAGTCTGAATGTGTTACCCTGATTTTGGTAGTTGGACCAGGAGATCATCATCACGTTGTTGATCTGAGCTGGAGTTTTGAGTTCGAGGTAGTAGTTGCTCACAGCGTCATCAAAATGGAGCACCAGAGTTTCTACAGGGAAGCAATTATTTGCGTAGGGCGTTCTTCTCTTAACCAAAAGGAAGACCTCAACAAATTGCAACTTGTGCTCCGACTGGTGCGCCTGTGAATAGGTATCCTTTCTTTCGTGGGGCATGTGCAAAAATTATACACTACGTATCTGCTATTTGAGAAGAAAAATCAATAGTATATTCCGTGGTTATTGCCGTTGTGAGGAGTTGAAAACTCGGTCCAAATTCGACATGGATAGTCATATGGGCAACTATTTGAGAAAAGCCAATTGCCGCTAGGCCTGCAAACAAAAACATATGTTACAACAAGCTTTTGTGTGCTAATCATGGGACTCGAAGAAAATATGTGCCTTCGAGGCAGAGTCTGAAAAATGACGAGTTGATATATTTGAAACTCGTTCAGCATTCTACTCAATATTGAGTGTATATGTTTTTGAACCAGCTTGTATGATTGCTACATCACCGAAAACCTTAAAAATAATCCCAGGTTTTTTTACTACCTTGTGGTAGAAAGCTGGCTATTTTCTCACGCCGTAGGCTTCTGTTGGTGTAGTTTCCTGCAATATCAAACGTTCTGATGCCGCTGTCTTAGGCATCTTTCATGATCTCAAACACCTGATCTTCGTCTTCTACCGTGAAATCAGACTAGCTCTTTTTGCCGAAAGACATGCACCAAGAATCACTCTGGAAATCTTGAGACATGAGACTCCCAGATTGGTGTAGAGCTTGAATAGAATGTGTTTCCATTCAAAGGACCTTGCTGGGAAAAACATAGTATGGAGATTGAAGTGTTGGAAGTGGGATTTCCATTTGCAACCCTAGCTTGAAAGTATGGCTTCGACAAATGATATAAGACGTGTTTCCTGAAAACAGTATAATATTCATGTCATCCGAGTCTTTTAAATGGTCAAAGAAACCAGCCTTAGTGACCGGGTATTTCACCTAGGGACCCGTCTATGGTGTTTAGTCAACCAGCGCTCTCCCAGAGTTTAGCATCAGATTCTACCATACTACACCTAGCACCAGATTCATGGAGCTCGCTACTGCCACACCTAATATTATTGTTACCACGTGCAGATTTTTTGTCGGGAAGTTCCCGTTTTGGAAGGAACCTGGCCTATCAATAAGGTCGCAAGATTTAGCCCTACTTTAAGTAAATCTCAGGATCTTATCAGAAAAATTAGATTCACAAACGAATCTTCGGCTTTACCGATTTCTTATGTTCAACGCCTTCACTGTTAACGACCTTGCTCTTGTGGACCAAAAGCCAGCAAACTCTGCTGGCAAGACCCTGGCCGAGTTCCAGACTCTTCTGAACGATACCAACTCCACGGGACGTCCGATCCGTTCGCGAAATGGATGCGGAGAATGTCGCAGACGCAAGTAAGTAGTAATTTTTTTGCCAACTAACCACAGAAAACGCTGTGACGAAACCAAGCCAGTCTGCAAACTGTGCAAGAGACTGGGTATTGAGTGTGTATGGCGCCAACCTGGTACAGAGCGCAAGAATGCCAAACGACGCCAGTCCCGGGCCATCAAGGTTCGGTTAAGTTCTGTGGAGGAAACATCGGGAGTATCAGCCACTCATATGCTTATTGACACACTTAGGACAAATCTTCAAACTTCCTTCGACTATGAACCACAAACGAACGTTTTCTCGCTGCCCTTTATTCGTCATCTCAGTGAAACAGAGAGCCGGTATCTAGATTATTACATCAACTATGTCTCCTCAACCCTTTCTCTTCTGCCTCAGGAAACAAATTATCTGTTGAGCCTTTACATTCCTCTGGCAGTCCACAACAAAGCCATTATGAGTGGACTTATTGGTTGGTCCGGGCTTTTTTTGGCAGGCACCAAGTCAGAGGAAACTCCAATGAAATATATCCAAAATGCCGTGGATCTTTGCGACAAAACCCTCAAATCAAAGGAGCTAACAATACCTGATAAGTTGGAACTTGTGTGTGTGTTTTTCATCCTTTGTGCTGCAGAGATTTGTGTTGGCGATGTTAAGAACTGGTACGATATCTTTGGCAGGCTGCACAAATTCATTTTGGACGAGTGCAACGGCAATTTGAAAACCCTGTTGGGACTACTGGGTGATACAGAGGGGGCCAAATGGTTGCTGTCCAATTTTCTCTATCATGACGTCCTTAGCAGCTCTAGTCACGAAGAAGGCACTTTGTTCCCTATTGATCAGTACTGCGAGGCACTGGACATAATCCCGGGCACCACGCAATTGATGGATTCAGGTACCGTCTGTGATCCATTGCAGGGATGCGTCCGACCAATGTACGTTTTGCTCGGCCAAATAATCAACACGAAGCACAAGTTGGACAAGATGCAGGAGAAATTGGATGCTATTGAGGATCGTGACTCCTATAAACAGAAAAAATTCGAGTTCTTAACAGCGCTGGAGATGGACTTCGAAGAGTTGGAAACTCGAATCAAAAATACTAATCCACATACTCCCTCGTTACTGCTTTTGAAGGACGACAAAGAGCTCGAAGATCATCTTACGTTGTTCGAGACCTACAAATTAAGTTTGAGGATCTATCTTCGCTACATGATACGGAAGACCCCTCCAGCATTGCCAGAAATACAGCTAATGCTCCAAGAGCTCACGCTCTGTATGGACGTGATAATGGATACGAATGTGCAATCTGGCTTATGTTTTGCCCTCATGGTGGCTGGAATTTCGTGTGTCGATCCCGTGGATCGTGAGCAAATGGAAGCCAGATTACGATCGTTTTGTTCCAGATTCCCAGTTAAAAACTTTGAGCTCGTTTTGATTTTGATCCGTAAGGCTTGGGAACTCAACAAGGACGGCGCACACTGTGTTAACTGGTTCGATATTTCTGAAAGCATGGGATGGTACTTATCGTTAGCCTAGTTATGATCAATTAATCTATTTCATGCTCTTGTATTTAGCAATGACTTTTTCTGCCAGATCAACAAGACCCGTGGCCAGGATGTCCGGAGTACCAAAGATTTCTGTACAAGGATCGTACTCATGGACACTGCTCCATGCTGTGATAAAACCAGCCTGTTTTGCGGCGCAGGAATCCCACATATGTGCGGCGGCAAAAAAGGCATTCTCTGAACTCGAAGGGATTTTCTTGGCAATAAACTCGTAGACTTCCTTTTCAGGCTTTCCCGCACCGATGGAGTCGCAAGAGATCAAATTCTCCGACGGCATCTCCACTCCGGAGCGCTTAAAATATCCAGCCACTCTCTCGTGAGAGGCATCCGTCAGACACCAGATAGTGAAGCCATTATCTCTAAGCATCTGGAACATTTGCTTGAGTTCTGGACGTCCTTCCAACTTGAACCATTCGCCATAGATAAACTCTAAGTCGTCATCTGTAGCATAAGACCTTGGATCCTTGACACCAGCAAAAAACAATGATCTATAGAAAGTGCTCCTAAACACCTTTTGGAATGGTTGGTAGTGCCCGCACTGAGAAAGGTACGAGTAATCTCTTTCGCACCCTGCTAGCCAGAAAAAGAAAAACAGCCGGGTATCGATTCCAGATTTTTTGAACCGCTCACCCATACGAGTTTCAATACCCTCGATGACTTTCTCATAAGAGATACACGTTCCCACAATATCGAAAATTATGTCTGGCATTTTTTGCTTTGTAAAGCACGGAAATTCCATGAGCTTTATACCGGAAGATAAGAAACCCTTGTAAACAGGACTGCGAGAAATCAGTGTCGGAGAAAGATCAAATTTGATTTTTGCGACAAGGTTGCCAATAAGATACTACTTAGAGTCTAGCCACCGGAGAGCCTAGAGAGGCAAGAATTTCGTTTCTGGTCTTAGTCATTCTCTCTTGAGAGATTTTGAAAGCCTCAGGAACTTCTAATTTCTTTCCCATGATATTACTGGCTAAAGCTTTAGCCGATAACAAAACTCGCGGCATTCCATGGCCGTGGAACCCTGCGATAATGAACTTGTTGGATTCGTGCGGCATCTCACCAACATATGGCAAAGAGTCGTCGGTATAACCAAGAATACCACTCCAGACGTGATCGGTCTCCGTTTCAGTAAACTTCCAGTCGTGGAAAAGTTTCATATAGTCGTCAAAATACTCTTTGGTTCCGGGGATTAGAGTACTATCATCCACAACGTTGTAGAAAACGTTCTTGAAAGGGAATATATGCTTTTTAGCACCACCAACGACGACAGTCCCATCGGCACGATTGATCAAGTAGTCCTGATCTGCACCATCATACCTAATACCATATGTATGAGACAGATGAGAAGGGCGGACTTTTGGAGTGATGTGACTGCAAATGCCCTTGATAGGAACGATTTTATTTAGAAATCTTGGTTCCACGGAAGCAGTATATGCGTTAGTGGCAATGACCAGCTTCTTAGCCAAAATTGTTCCTCTAGCTGTCTTCACCAGCCATTTATCCTCGAGCTTTTGAGTTCCCAGAACTGGTGTATTAGTCTGCAGATTGAGCCCTTTCAGCATACACTTTCTGAGCAACGAGGTCACAAGCTTATATGGCCAAAGCTGACCAGCAGTGAATGTGACGCTAACCTCAGAGTCCAACACGTGACTGATAGTTTTTGCATTTTCTCCAATGTGTAGTTGAACATCGTGTTTGCAGGTAATGTAAGGGTTTTCTGTAAACTGCCGGTAATTCTCCAGAGCAGCATTAACAGCAGAGGAAGTCAAATGAACGTCACAGGACCGACCAAGAACAAAATCACAGTCAATGTTTTCCTTCTCTATAAGTTCTTTCATTGCTGCCAAATGAGCGAATTCAAAATTAGCGATTTCTGCCGCTCCTTTTTCTCCAAACTTTTTAGTCCATGACTTTTGCGAGTAATAGAGACTGGGCTTTAGATGACCACCATTACGTGCTGTAGCTCCACTACAGACATCACGGGCTTCTAGCATGACAATCGTGCCGTCAAATCCTTCTTCCATCAAAAAGTGTGCGGTCGTGGTACCTGCATAACCAGAACCAACAATCACGATATCTGCTTCCGCTGGTAGCTCTGCAGTTGACCTGTGGTCATGAAAATCCACTTCAGCAGTTAGCCAAAACGACCTTGTAGGGTTGGGAACGGGGAGGTAGTCAGTCATAGTGAACGAAGAAAATCAGACGTGTAATTTCTTCCTTCTTATCTTATTTACTGCCCGACCGATGCATTGCTTTATCCGTCCTAATTATAGAGGTGCATGGCGGCAAAAAAATTGATAGGGCCTGATTAAGATTTCCGCCAACCTATATATTAACCTGGATGAGAAGCAAATAGGTCTCATGTTTGAAAAGACAACAGAAGCTGGAAAAGATTACGAAGACTCTAAAGGTGTTTCCACCCACGACATCCACGTCCAATCGGTACTATCTCCCCAGGACGACCAGGAAATCAAAGATCAAGCTTTCGAGCTTCTCAAAGATAACATCGACGAGGAATTGGATCCTGAGGAGGATAGAGCTGTGAGACGTAAACTTGACTGGAGATTCCTTCCATTGCTAACTCTTATCTATGGTCTTAACTATGTGGACAAGGCATCCCTTTCTTGGGCAGTCATGTTGAATTTCAGGGAGGACACTAAGCTGAAAGGCAATGAATATTCATGGGTGTCGTCCATTTTTTACTTTGGATATCTGGGAGCTGAGTACCCAGCCAATATTCTCGTTCACAAGTTTTCTGTTCCCAAAATTCTTACAGGAGTTTGTGTCTCCTGGGGTGTTTTGATGCTGGCTCACATTGGAGCGAAAAACTATGCTGGAATATTAGTTATCAGATTCTTACTAGGTATCAGTGAGACTCCAGTGTCGGCTGCAATGATCAAGTATGTTGGATGCTGGTGGAAAAAGTCAGAACAGCCAATGAGGTACTTATGTTTCAACTCTGGACAAGGTGGGTTGTACATTGTTTTCAGTCTTGTCTCCTATGGTCTGGGACACGCTGGTGGAAACCTTTCACCATGGAAGTATATCTATATTGTTCTGGCATTTGTTTCTTTCACTTTGGGTGGATTAGTTTGGTTTTTCTTACCGGCTTTGCCCCAGAATGCAAAATTCCTGAATGAGCACCAGAAAATGGTCGCCGCCAAAAGAGTTTCGAAGAACATGACAGGAATCAAGACCATTGTCTGGAAAAACTACCAGATTCTTCATGCCTTAAAGGATCCAAAGACATATCTCCTGACCCTGTATATGTTCTTCTCCATGATCCCTAACGGTGGTCTTACCAACTTCAACACACTCGTGCTGGAATCCTTTGATTTCGACAAGTACACCACGCTTCTGGTGAACCTCCCATGGTCATGTTTCTCTGCTGGTCAGATGTGGGTGTGGGTTTTAATCGGTCGGAAATTCAAGAACTTAAGAATTGCCGGTCTCATCATTCCTATGTGCATTGCAATCACCGGATTGTCGATCGTGTACGCGACGGAGGATGGTGGAGCAAATAAGTGGGGTAGAGTGTTTGCTTACTGGATGATCAACTCTTGCTCAGCAACATATCCCTTTGCAATGACTTTAACGGGACAACTTATAAGTGGCCATACCAAGCAATCCTTTACTAACGCTCTGGTCCTGATTACTTTTGCTTTGGGTAATATTGTCGGTCCGTTTGCATTCAAAGCTAGTGACGCCCCAAGATACACACAGGCTCTGGCTACCATCATTGGTACCTTTGCAGCCTGTATTGCCATCGGAGCTGTTCTCGGGGGTTACATCTTCTATGAAAATAGGAGAAGAAACAAGCTATACGGAAATCCTGCCGAAGATGAAGACCTGCAGCTTCAAGGGGAAATCGCCGGTCTCAAGGATAAGACAGATCTGGAAAATAAGCACTTCAGGTTTGTTTATTAATCTTCCAAGCCATTAGCCTATAGTTACCGAAATTGTAAATTTGTACCGCAAAACAATTAGGTCCTGTTCACTACTATTATATTACTATTTTAAAAGTAGAGGAGTACTTGTCCTGTTTTTATTTTCATGACCTCAGTACTATTGCCTTTGAACACGGGAGCCCTGATGCCTGCCATCGGGCTCGGCACTTGGTCGCCTGACGATAGATCTCAAATTCGCGAATGCGTCGAATATGCTATCCTGGAAGCCGGTTACAGACACATCGACACGGCCTACCTGTATGGATGCGAAGATCAGGTTGGACAGGCTGTCAGAAATGCTATTGCCACTGGAAAAGTGACCCGTGAGGAATTGTTCATCACGACAAAAGTCTGGCCTACATTCCATAAACACATGGAGGATGGCCTGGATTTGTCGCTCAAGGCTTCCGGCCTGGATTATTTCGACTTGGTGCTGGTTCATTGGCCAATTCCCTTTAAGTGCGACAGTGACGATGGAAAACCCTTCTGGCCAAAGAATAAGGATGGCTATATTGCGAGGGATATGTCTAGCGACCACATCACGATGTATCAACAGTTGGAGAAGTGCTTAGAGAATGGTAAAGCTAAGGCTATTGGAGTTTCGAATTACTCAATTCCAAAACTTGAAAGCTTGTTGAAAGTATGCAAATATGTTCCAGCAGTCAACCAGTGCGAACTTCATCCACTACTTCCACGTCGCGATCTTTGCGATTTCTGCACTTCCAGAGGTATAGTCATGACCTCTTACTTTCCTTTCGGCGGTAACGGAGCTCCAATTTTGAAGAATGAGGCTATTGCAGAAATCGCTAAAAAGTACTCAGTGAGTTCGAGTACAATTTTATTGAGCTACCACGTCAACATGGGTGTGTCTGTCGTTCCCAAATCGTTTAAGCCACACAGAATCAAGTTGAATGGAAAAATTGTCTACCTCCAGAAGGAAGACCTAGAGAAGCTCATGGAGATTGGCAGAGAAAAGCCTCACAGGTTCAACAATCTTAATTTTGATGTTGATCTGGAGTTCGGTAAAGAGGATTGGTAATACTTTTCATAAGTAATGAAATAGGACCAATTTTACCCAAGTTTTTGTTGAAGCACAAAAACTTCTGTTTTAATTTCTTGGCATCTTCAGCCACAAAGTTTGCCAAGAAAGCAATAATAAAGCACATGGTGTCTACGATTCTCGATTATGTTTTCGCCTCTAAGCTAATACTGAACAGGTGAGATGTACCAAAGCAAGAAGTTGGATTTTGATAAGCTGTGAAAATGCTCTATTCAACCAGCTTTAAATTATATCTCGTTGATCAAAACGACATATTTCAGCCGACTTCCCTCCATGGTTAATAAAAGCTAATTAGGAACGTGGGCTGCCAAGACCTCAGCTCAGCCGAGAACCTCTAAGTATAAATTACCGTCAAATCGTTTAGTAGATCTTCATGACAGACGTTGCCTTACCTGAGTTCAACTACATATTTGCAATCGCCGTGCTGTTTGCTTTCTTGGACGCGTTCAACATCGGTGCAAACGATGTTGCCAACTCTTTTTCGTCATCTGTGTCCTCACGTGCGCTAACTTATTGGCAAGCAATGATCCTTGCTGCTATTATGGAGTTCCTAGGAGCTGTTTTGGCAGGATCAAGGGTTTCAGACACGATCAGAAGCAAAATCATTGATGTGCAGTCGTTTGAAAACAACCCTTCGGTGCTGATGCTTACGATGGCATGTGCGCTAGTTGGCTCCTCGATTTGGTTGTCAATTGCAACATCTATTGGTATGCCTGTTTCGACTACCCATTCCATTGTAGGAGCCGTGATTGGAGCAGGAATTGCTGCTAACGGTAGCGACCATGTCGAATGGGGCTGGGATGGATTCTCTCAAATTGTTGCCTCGTGGTTCATTGCTCCTGCCATCACCGGTGCTCTTTCGGCAACTATCTTCCTGATCACCAAATACTGTATCCTTGAAAGGAAAAACAGTGTTGCAAAAGCATTGTTTTTTGCTCCGGTCATTGTGTTTATCTGCTTTTCGATCTTGACAATGCTCGTTGTGTGGAAGGGAGCACCAAACCTGAAGCTGAACGACCTTTCAACTGGTGCAACAGTCGGCTCGATTTTTGGAGTCGGTGCAGTTGCGACGCTCCTTTACCTTCTTTTCTTCCATCCGTATTTTACCAGGAAGTTGGTTCACGAGGACTGGACGCTCAAGTTCTATCATGTTCTTGCTGGACCAACATACTATTTCAAATCAACGAAGAGTATTGGACCGAAGCCAGACAACGTGGAACTGGTGATCGATTATTACCGTGGAAGAAGGAAGGAAACCCCAGTTAATTTATCGGATGATGAAAACAAAGCTGGTGAGGGCTCTCCACTAGTTGTGTCTCAGTCTAGCATTATTTCTACCTCTCCCCAATCTGCAGATGACATTGGATATTTTGACTATGTGACACCAGCAGAAAGAAAGCTTTGGCGAAGCATGATTTTCAAACCTAAGTACTGGATCAAACTCTTATGGTTGTTAGTGACTCACGGGTGGAGACAAGATGTTATCAGTAATCAGGCAAATGCGGCTGGAGTTCTTGGACAAGGAGTTCAAGATATGTACAGCAAGTCGAAGTTTTACGACACAAAAACGGAGCATGTGTTTTCTTTGTTGCAGGCTTTTACCGCATGCACAATGTCGTTTGCACACGGCTCTAATGATATATCCAATGCTGCAGGTCCTCTGTCATCCGTCTATAACATTTGGAAGACGAATACGGTTGGAAGCAAGAGTGAGGTGCCAATTTGGGTTCTTTGTTTTACTGCTGGATCGCTTGTCCTTGGATGCTGGATGTTTGCGTACAAGCTGATGTCAAATCTAGGAAATAAGATGATCCTTCAATCTCCGGCAAGAGGTTTTGCAATTGAGTTGGGAGCCGCTTGCACTGTTGTGATGGCGACAAGACTTGGTATCCCTGTTTCCACCACCCAGTGCGCAGTTGGTGGAACGATCTTTGTGGGTCTGTGTAACATGGACGTTCGGGGGTGCAACTGGAAGATGGTGTTATGGTGCTATCTTGGATGGTTTGTGACGCTACCGGTTGCAGGACTGATTGCTGGACTCATCAACGGAATTATATTGCATGCACCTCGATGGGGTGCGATGAGTACGTAGAGCGAGGTGTAGTGAAAGGAGAGGTGCAAAGTCGGAGAAATAGGTAGCGAAGCGAGGGGGATATGTAAGAGAGGTGAGAGGTGAGAGGCGAGAGGTAGGAGAGGCGAGAGGTATTTAGAGGTAAATGGAGGTATAATGGAGGTATTATGGAGGTATTCTATGTTAACGAGAATGTAGTGCTGAAGGGGTGTAGAGGTGAGTAGGGAGTAGGGAGTAGAATTAAAAAGGAGAAAAAAATAAAGTTGGAGGGGGGGAAGGGGAGGGAAAAACAGAAAAGCAGGCAGGGGGGAAGAAGAGGAGGGAGGGGAGCGGAGGGCCTAAAGTGTGGTGGCGGGGTGGCGGGGTGGAGATCTGGTTTTTGCTCGTACAACATTTCCGAGAATGGAGAGCTGAGATTAACCAAAAGGGATGTCAGGAACGAAAGGTCCAGTAACCATATAGGGTTCTCAATTGGCTGCTCACATTCCTTTGAACGTGAACTTTGTGAGAATAGACTAGTCCTAGGCATCTAACACTTGGATGTGGAGTATCCGTTTACAAGGCCACTAAAAACCTTTATACGTCCGGAACACTCACTAATTCGACGTATATCATCAGTGCGCGTCCCTGAAAACCAGAAGACGTACCAGCAGTCGGTGAAATTACTACAAGCTTTAAGAAAACACACGGAGGGCCAGTTTATTGGGGCTACGATGGAGCCAAGAGACTATGAATTCTCGACTTGAAGCGCCTAGATTTTGGTGGACAACCTGTCATTTATGACATTGAGGTTCCTGTGTTCTGGGGATGTGGGGTCACATCTCAGCTCTTGGTAATTCGGTAAAAGACAAAATTCGAGGCCCAATTATCTCTCGTACAAAAGATGTGATGTTGGTGCTGGTCATTGCCAGCGAGGGTATAAAACCTTTAGGATGATACGTGGTTTTACCGTAACCAAAGAAAAAAACAGTATCACATTATGAACCACGCATTACTTGATAAGGCCAGCAATGCTTATATCATATAGTCGGAAAACAAGCTCCATTTGTGCATATATGTGCCAAAAATGACGTGAAATCGGACACTCAAATGGATCGTAAATGTAATGGGCGAGCAATAGAGTTTGCAACATGCAGAAGTGCATGATTCTGATAGGCACCATCGCCATAGTAATACTTATTTGGGAAGCAACACACGTCTGTCAGTGCAAGCATGCATAATTTTGCGTGTCAGATCAGAAAATCTTATCGAAACGGACCACTCGAAATATAAAAGCCTCGGCAAATATCTTTGAGATGAACTTATGCTCGAGTCAGAAAATCCCATGAAGAGGGCTGGCGTTGTGGTTGAGATTGCACCACTAGTCTCCACAGAGTGCCCATTTCCTTCTGCGCACAAGCGATTGATTCGCCACATGGATTTAAGAATAATGCCCATCCTTTCGGCAATGTATTTCTTCTCCGCTTTGGACAGATCCAATATCGGAAACGCCAAAGTCGCAGGTATGAACACTGATATTGGAATCTCTGATGCACAGTACTCGACAGCGGTCTCGATAGTTTATTCTACCTATTTGCCCTTCATGCTTCCAGGCGTTTTGCTGATGATGCGCTACTTCAACAACAAAAAACGCGAGTATCTTGGGTGCATGGTTGCATTATGGTCATTGGTTTCTATTTTTACAATGTTTGCTAGTGGATACGGATCACTTATAGCATGCCGACTGTTGCTTGGGCTTTTCGAAGCCTCGTTCTTTACTTCAATTTCTCTGATCATTTCAGACTTTTATTTCCAGTCCGAACTTTCACAGCGTGTGTCATATTTGTTTGCAGCATCTGCATTTTCTAGTGCTTTTGGGAGCCTCATTGGAACTGGAATCACAAAGATCAAATCTGGGCTGGCTCCATGGAGATATCTGTACTTGATCGAAGGACTCTTGTCTTTTGCAGCGAGCTTTTGGATGATGTTCGGAATGCCAAACAGTCCAGAAGAGGTCGCCAATGGAGAAGAAGAAATAAGAGTGCTTGAATGGAGAAATGAACAGCGGCGATTATTTATGATGAATGATGGTGACAAAAAGTCTGAGGCGTTTGCCGCGTTTTGTGACCCGAAAGTGTATCTATCTACGATTATCCAATTTTGCCAAGATATCCTTATGTACGGGTTTTCCACATTCTTACCGTCGATCTTACGGAGCGATCTTGGGTACACTTCACTTCAAGCACAATATCTGACAGTACCCTGCTACATGCTCTCTGGCATCGTTTTTATTCTTGCGGCCAGAATATCTGACAAGACAAGAATAAGGGGACCGCTGATCATCTTCCTAGACATGTTTGGGGTTGTTGGATACGCACTCATCCTTGGAAACACAAGCAGCGGTGTCAAGTACTTTGCGTGCTATCTCATATGTATGTGCTTGTACGTCCCAGGGTTGAACGAGGCCTGGTTGGCCACGAACCTGGCTCCAAGATTCAAGAGGGCGATCGGTCTGGGAATAAATCAGACTCTCGGAAATATCGCTGGCGTGGTGAGTGCCCAAATCTACCGAGAGCCTCCAAAGTATGTGTTGGGTCATGCATTCACTCTTGGGTGCATTGGAATGGGAATTGTGAGCTCAGGGTTGAATACGTTTCTACTGGTTCGTCGCAACAAAGCTAATATAAAAGCGTGCGAGACAGGCGTTGATGCCCGTGGGCTCAAACGAGAGATCGGCGATGATTCAATTGAGTTTCGGTTTGTTACATAAAAGAGATATTATGTTATGATGATGGACTAAGAGTAGACAGAATTTAATATATGTGGTTGCAACCATAAAGCAAGAACAGAATTAAAGTAAAGGTGG